CCCTTTCCAAAAAAAAAAAAAAAAAAAAAAAAAAAAAAAAAAAAAAGGAGTTTAACAAAACAGAATTATGAGTATTTAAAAAAAAAACTTTTTTGGTGATAGGGTCTCCAGTAACTCAGGCTGGCTTTGAACTCAATATGTAGCTAAGTATGACCTTGAACTTCTGATTTTCCTGCTTCTACTTCCAAGTGCTGGGATTACAGGTATGCCACGACACCCAGTTTTATGAAGCACTGGGGCTTCCTGCAGCTTGGGCAAGCACTCTACCAACTGAACTACATCTCCAGACCATATTAAAATACTTTCTAGTAACCACCTGTAACAGTTGGAAATGTAATATTAAAAGTTGAGAGTCTAAGCTAAAAAGGCATGTCAAATTATTTTGAGGACTTTGATGGATACTCTGCCATATGACACCAGAATTACCATTTTTAAAAGCTCAGAATGTTATTTATCCTGTGTGTGAAAGCTTCTCATTTTTCTTACTCAAATGAGTTTCAGGGAGGAAAATTTTCAGGAAAATCATTCAGTACAAGGCAGAAGGACAAGACATCATTAACCTGAAAACCCAGAGTCCTTATCTGAGTCAGCAGCCACCACGCCGAGTTGTCGGGCAACTTTTTTCATCTCTGTGCCTCTGCCTAGCTTAGCAGAGAGTCTTCTGGGGCTCTCTCTGGACGGGGTTTTCCTCTCCATGTTTAGAGAACTGGAAGCTGCCTCATAGGTAGTCTTTTCATCTGGATTGCTCTAGGAAAAATAATTATGTAAGAAGTCATTGCCTGGAGAACTGAACCAGGTGATCCAAAAAAGGTGAAGAAAGTAAGAGCAAAAGACACCAGCCTCACCCACTTCAGCTACACTTAGTGGTCTCAACTGACAAACCTTCAAGTAAACAGAATGGTTTTCACCCAAAAGGAGATTGAGTCCTCTTGCTGCCCTCTAATTCCATTACAAATTCAAGACACACAGACTACATTCAGAGGAACCTTTGTGAACTGCTAACAAAGGGACATTTGATTAGGCTTTTTGGAATGGGTAACCAAATCAACTTGCCTTCCTCCCGGTGGAGAAGTAACATCAACCAACAAGGTGTGCTTTCCCAGTAGACAACCGAGGGCTCATGACCTAGTGCCACCTCAGTTCTAAGAGTTCTTAGAGTTTCTAAGTAAACCCCTTAGTTCTTTGTATGAAGTACTGAATAGAGTTCAACCAACCCCATACACACACACACACACACACACACACACAAAGGCTACTTGAAAAAATATTTATTTACTGTGTATTTGTTTAGGCACACAGGTGCTATGGCATACATGTGGAGGTCAGAGGATAACTTGGGAGAGTCAGTTTTTTCCTTCCACCATGTAGGTCTTGGGGACTGAAGTCAGGTCATCAGGCTTGACAGCAAGAACCTTTGTCCATGAAGCTAACTCACAGGCCCTATATGCTACTATTTGACCAAAAAAAAAAAAAAAAGTTGCTTACCTGGTATTCAAACCCAGCAAACAAAGTACCTCTGTGTGCAAACATCATATGTTTAAAGTGCTTATAGTACACAAAGGTACATAACATTTATTGCTGCTAATGTCATCCTTTTTGAGTCTCACAAAGTCCTCCTCAGTTGTGATCTCATTTTACACTGGAAGAAGTTAAGGCTTGGATAAGTTACATTCAGTCATTTAAAAACAGGTATCCAGGGGGATGGAGAGATGGCTCAGAGGTTAAGAGCACTGACTGCTCTTGAAAAGGACCTGGGTTCGAGTCCCAGTACCCACATGGCGACTAACAACTGTCCGAAACTCCAGTTCTAGGGGTATGACGCCCTCTTCTGATTTCGTCTGCCATTTGCATGACACTGATGCACTGACACACATGCAGACAATACACGTATACATATAAAATAAAAATAACAGGGGCTGGAGAGATGTCTCAGTGGTTAAGAACTCTGTTCTTGCAGAAGACCCAGGTTCGAATCCCAGCACCCACATGGCAGCTAACAATTGTCCATAACTCCAGTTCTAGGGGATCTAACAGCCTCTCTGTCCTACACAGGCATTGCACAACATGGGTGCACTTACCTACATGCAGGCAATACATGCATACACATAAAAAGACATTGTGATGGACTGAGGATACAGAGTGAACAGAACACGTATGTTTCTGTTCTTCCTGGAACTTGGGATCTGGAGAGAAGCAGACATTAACCAAGTACTCATACAACTGATGATTATTTTGACAGGAGCTATGAAAGGTGAGACATCTGGGGCTCTGAGGGAGTATCCTGGAGCTGGAATCTGGAGGATGAAGAGTTAGTAGGCTTTAGTGAGGATAAAGGCAATTGGTGAGCTGGGTGGTGTGTTCCAGGTCAGTGTGAAGGCTGAAGGAAGAAAGAGCTTGGCACAGTCAGAGCTGAGTGGCCAGAGAGGCGAGAGCACAGGGCAGGAGCAGAATGCCATGCACTGTAGGGAGGGAGGAGGGGGGGAGGGGGAGGTGTACACACAGGACCAGACAGACGGTGCTTTGGAATCATGTTGGAAAGACTCGAGATATTAACTCAAGAGCAGTGGGAAGCCAGTGAATGATTTTAAATATTTTATTTATTATTTTTATTTTATGTGTATTGCCTGCATGAATGTGAGTGCACCTGTGTCATGCAATGCCGCGGAGGTCAGAAGAGGGCTTCAGACTCCCCTGGAACTGTAGTTAAGGAAGGTTTATAGCCGCCATGTGGGTGCTGGGAATCGAACCCGGGTCCTCTGCTAGAGCAGCCAGTACTCTTAACTGCTGAGCCATCTCTCCAGCCCCCAGTGAATGATTTTAATTACTATCAGATTTGGATTATAAAAGTATTTTGAGCTGGGTGTGGTGGTGCATGCCTTTAGTCCCAGCACTGAGGAGACAGAGGCAGGCAGATCTCTGTGAGTTCAAGGCCAGCCTGGTCTACATAGTTAGTTCCAAGACAGCTGAGGCTACAGGAAGACCCTGTCTCAAAAAAGACCAAAAATAAATAAATAAATAAATATTTAAAAAATGAAAGTATTTGAGGGGCTGGAGAGATGGCTCAACAGTTAAGCGCACTTGCTGTTCTTCCAAAGGACCCAGGTTTGATTCCCAGCACCCACATGCAGCTAACAACTGCCTATAACTCTAGATCTGAGGGATCTATCGCTCTCTTCTGGCCTCTGTGGGCCTTACATTCATGCAGTGCACTTACATACATGCAGGCAAACACTCATACACATAAAATAAAAATAAATAAAAGCAGGGCTAGAGAGATGGCTCAGTGGTTAAGAGCACTGCCTGCTCTTGAAGAGGACCTGCATTCAATTCCCAGCACCGATGGCAGCTAACAACCATCTGTAACTCCAGTTCCAAGGTAATCCAATGCTGTCTTCTGACCTCCACCAGCATTGTACAACACGGGTGCGTTTTTTTTTTTTTAATGTGTATGAGTGTATTGCCTGCGTGTATGTGAGCGCGTCTGTGTCATGCAATGCCACAGAGATCAGAAGAGGGCTTCGGATTCCCCTGGAACTGGAGTTAAGGACAGTTTGTAGCCACCATGTGGGTGCTGGGAACTGAACCCGGTCCTCTACAAGAGCAGTCAGTGCTCTTAACTGCTGAGCCATCTCTCCAGCCCCACGGGTGCACTTTTAAATATGCAGGCAATACACTCATACACATAAAATATAAAATAAATAAATAAAATATTGTTTAAAGTAGTTGAGATGCTGGACTGAGACCAAAGTAGAGACAGGCCAAAGTAGCACTGAGCTCACTAGGTGAATCAGGGTGTTGGCCTGAGGACACAAGGAAGGGAAACATGGAAATTCACGGAGACTTGGTTTTATGGTAGTGGGGGTAGAGGGTATGATAGGACTATTTTCTAAGTGAGGGAGCCCAAAAAGGGGCACAGAATTACTTAGTAAGATAGGCAGGTATGGCTAAGTGAGTTTAGTTTGGGTCACATAGACAATGAAGCTTACTGAGGGTCATCCATGTGATGCTGGGTAGAAAGTTAAGTGTAAGACAGATCCCACAGGGAAGTATAGGTTTGCCCCAGTGACATACAGTCAGTCCTTCACATACCCAGACTTATGGTAAAAGTATAAGAATGAAGGCAAAACAGCCTGACAAAGGGCTGGCAGAGGCTGTAACACATATTTCAGTCACCAAGCTGTAAGGCTGGGATAAAAACACAATACACACTGCTGGGATAAAGAAAGCAGGGTGCCCCCAAGAAAAACAGTAATAACGAAATGGTGTAGGTATAGCAGAGCTCAGTTATGTTTTAATTAATCCACCATGACTCCATGTAGAAACAGAAGCCTCAGCTAAGCAGCACTGACCCTGGAATATCCTGCTGTGGCACACCTGAACATTTCTGCAAGTTTGGACCTAGTGAGGAATACTAGAGGAAAGATTCACGGTACAGTGATAGAAAAGGCACAAGTGCCTCCAGGCATTCTTGAGCAACCCTCCTGCTCCTACGTATAACCAGCTGAAGTGAACTAAAGGGACCTGATCTGACCTGAATGAGAGTGAATTCTCAACACAATTCCAAGTCAAAGTTATTTTGCCCCCAGTTCTAACTCTTTGAAGGGGGGTTGGCATTCTCATTCAATTCATGTCAAATCAAACATTCTTCCACAGGTCACATGCTTAATTCTCTGCACACAAAAGATAAACAATGGCACTGTCACATCTTACCAAGAACTATGCAAAGGCAATGTCTCTGTGTTTGACAGCTATGATGTTTGACAGCCTGGACAACCAGGTTTAAAAAAAGTAGACTAAAATGTAAAAGTGTACCTCTAATTAAATCAGGATCCTTTTGTATGAAATCCAGCAAATGTGCTTAAGTATAATTTTCCCAAAATAACAGTCCAAAGTGAACAGAGCCTTCTTTAAAATGGAAGTAGAAATGACTTGTGGACAGCATTCAGACTAATACAGATCTGGCCAGGCTGTTGATCCAGATTAAAAGGGCAGCTCTTGGCAGTTGCAACTAGTTAAGACTCTGACAAAACTTCACAATAACTTACTAAACATGAAGTATTTTATAGGCATTTTAGAGAAAACATCCCAATTCAGTCTTCTACAATCCTCATGACAAGATAATGAAAAAGGTCTTGCTGTTAAGTGCAGTCAGTGGAGCTAGAGGAAACACACAGAAATTTACACTCGCTCACAAGAATTTACAAGATAATATTGACTGCAGAATCAAAATACTAAAATGTTGACAAATCAGTTAAAAGGAAAACAAATTCTAAAAATTTAGCTCTTGGGGAAATACTGGCATTTGGAAATTTAAAAAAACACATAATTGACTTTTAGAATGGTAAATGGTTTTGGGTGCAAAAATGATGAAAAATACGAATGCCTTTGTCCTCGACAAAAATTCTCTTCAAGCAGGAAACAGCCTTAGTGCTCTAATGGAGGAAGCTCATGTGGGAGGGAGCACAGGAAGCCACATGCATCTCTCTTCTTTGAGAGTGAGTGAGCTCACGTGTCCACCATACCAGAGGAAGCCTTGGGCAGTGAAGCAGAGGGGTGGCATTCTACCAGCACCTCTTAAGCCCAGAACCACAAAGCAGCAAAATCTGAAAACTTCTTGCTGCATTTTTTCCTTGTTCAGTATTATTTATCAATAGAGTTAGATGCTCACAAGCTGAGGAACTGAAAATGGATTTCTAGGTCCTCATCTGCTGTCTCATCTTTCTGCTTCCTGATAAGGGTGGGAGGTTGCTGATGCTGCTTTCTAAACACCTCAGACCCCTGTACTTTCTTTGTGTGAGGACTAATTTAAGTTCCCAAACTGGCAGAATTGACCCTAACCTGAGCCTTCTGTACATATATATAGCACATTGTCCAAAAGGTTCCCAAAGAGGGCAGTAGACACTACAGTTCACAATGGAAAACTAATCAACACACAGGCTTATATAAATAGATACAAGATAAAATTCTGGCAGGTGCTTCCCAGCACTTGGTGCTTACTTCTATTTTTGTACCACTTACACTAGAGTCACGGTTTGTCTCCAGAACCTCACAATTGTTTTTTGGGTTTTGTTTCAACATTGCACCTTTAGCCAGCAACAATAATCATTCCAGGTATTCAAGGGAATAATAAATTCTAACAAATCTCAGTCCCGCCAGAGTCCGTGACAGTCCAAGCAGTTTAGCTGTCACCAAAACACCAAAGCTTGAAGGTCAAGACCGCATTTCCAAATACCATGATCACCCCAAAATCTAATTTCCAAGTTTAGTCCAATAGAAACTAAGATGAAACCATGGAACAAATTCACCAACCAAATTAGAAGTTGGTATGATCCACATTGTCTTCAGAGATTTGAGTTTAGGATGAAAAGACGATCCAAGAGTTACAGGGAAAGGATCTAAGTGCAGTTTCCTGTGCGCTCCATTTATAGATACTTGGCACCATTCCTGGGAGCTCACGTTAGTCCCTTTAAAACGTGTCACGTGTATGACATGCGTGCTCAGAGAGGTGTGAGGTAAAGGCCCAAGCAAAAGGCTTACATACAATAAAGCGATAAGGTCACAGAAAGTAAAGAATTTATGAGTCATAAAACCATGAGCAACCCCAGTTAGAATTGCAAATGTATTACTAGGTTTTCTCTGTAGTTGTGTTTTGCTCTGGGAGAATGCATATTTTAATGGTGGAAAATTGCACCTACCTAAATTTCCTTTATTCATACTTTTCCACTCGTTCTTTTTTAAAAAAATATTTTATTAGTATTTATTTTTTAATTTTATGTGCATGAGTGTTATGCCTGCATGTAGGTAAGTGCACTCATGTCGTGCAATGCCAGAGGACAGAAGAGGCTGTCGGATCCCCTAGAACTGGAGTTACAAACAGTTGTTAACTGCCATGTGGGTGCTGGGATTCAAACCCGGGTCTTCTGCAACAACAGTGTTCTTAACCTGAGCCATCTCTCCAGCCCCTCCCACTCATTCGCCAGTCTAACTGGAATTTTCATGTTAAAGATCCTGCTCGATTCCACAGTTTCCTATGGCTCTTTCCACCCTCACCTTTCAATGGGGCTATGGGATTGGAGAACTTTGTCAAATCTCCTGCTGCAGTAACAGTGCCCACCTATCCATTCGCACCAGCCCACATGGCATCTGTGCCAGACAGCATGTACACCCTCCAGGCATCAACCAGCCTGTCAGCTCAGCAGGGCAGAACTGGGCAGACCCCAGACTGTGCTATGTCTGGCATACCACCAGTCTCCAGGGCGAATGCCCAGGACAACACCCACTGCCAGAACTTGGGCAATAAACAGAGAGCCTGGCTATGGCCTGGGTCCTGGGCCCAGATCAAAACTGTCCTAACTCACCCACTAACCATGGACTTCTTATTTGGCACTGTCCACCATTCTCTCCCACATTCCTATCCCAGGCACCACGCCTGGCTAGTTGGCTATCCAGGAGAAATAACCAGTAAAGTGGAGGACGGTCGGTCTCTGAAAAAAAGACTGTGCACCTGTACCTGGGGCACAGCCTCTAAATGGAGGTCTGGGACCCTCGCCCAGTGAGCAGCCCTGATTACCCACCGACCAGCCCATTCCCAGACCTTGTGCTCACAGCCCAGCAGACCTCCAGGCTCTCTTCCTGCCGGAGCCCAGCTACCCTGGTTTGGCCCACCGGCCCTAGGAACTCACCCCACTTGCCCCACACGAGCTCCTTCCCTACACGCTGTGCCCTCTTCATCCCGGACTTCCTTTCCCACGCAGGCCTGTCTCTTACAGCAAACCAACTGAAGGGGAGCGAGGGGTGGCACGTCCCTCTACTCCCTATATCTGACCCCCGTCACCCCCACAAGCCCTGGTTCCCCCCGGTGCCCACCTCGTCCCCTCTTCCTCGCTCACCTGCTCCCACCTGCTTTCTCCTCTCCCTGTTCCAGCCCTCCCGGCGGCGCCATCCCCGTTCCCCCAGCGCCCAGAGGCCGAGCCCTCCCTTTCTCACCTAGGGCCGGGGTCGCTGCTCCACTACCAGCCGGCGGGTCAGGCAGCGCATGCGCGAGCCGGGCCCCACGGCTCCATGGCAACCCGGTCGTAGCCGGGTCTCTAGCAATCCCGCGGCCTACCGCCCATTTCTTCTTCCCCCCGCCTCTGCGACGGCGTTTACCAGCCACGTGACCCCGCTCGGAGGACTCGCAACCATGGAGACTGAGCGTTGTTCTCCTAGAGGGGCCCTTGGAGACGCGCCCTTTTTCCGCCCCCGCCGGAAGCCTGGCGGTCGGGCTCTGGGAGGCGACGCTCTCTCCGCCATGGCGGTCATCTCTATGGTTAGCTGCGCAGGTTTGGCCGCCATTTTATCTGAGACCTTGAGCCGTTTCGTTGAGGCATTCTCGAGGCTGGAGTTGGACTCACAGGAGGAGGACTGGCTCATAGCCACACGGCGGGAGTTGGGATTCGTGTGGGACGCTGAGGGGGAGCCGCTCTTGGAGTGTGTCCCCCCGACGCTCTTAGGGGTGGGGACCGGAACCGGACGCGGCCGGCCCGGGGCGGCCTGGGTGTAGGAGGTCTCGCGGGGAGGCAGCCGGGCGCGATGACCTGGCTGCTTGGTCGTATTGTTGCCACGCCTGTCGCATGGTTTGCTTTCCCGTCCACCCTCCAGACCGTGCACAAGGACCAGACGCAATGAGTATTTTAGTGGGATGATTTCATGTGGCTTGACGATTGGCTCGTTCTGTCCGCTGCGGCCGTGGGAGATGCTAAGCTTCATGGATAGCGTCTTCTGCCAGGCCCTGAGAAGTTTGCTCCTTGAACTCTCAAGGGAACAGGGATCAGAAAATGGGGTTCATCTGTCAGGGGACTATTTCATAAAGAATTCCTTCTGAGATGAAAAAGAGGACATGGGCAAGCTTAGGTTGTTGACAGCTCAAAGCTGGTTCTGAAGCTGTTGCTGTCCAATTCCGTACTCTTTACGAAGAACTATTAAAATTCAATAAAATGGAGACATTACATTCCCATCCGCATTAGCATTACAAAAACTCAATGGATGCATGCAGCTAATGGTTTCTTTATTAGGGAAGATTATCGCACATTCTCAGTACTGCAGAAAGTTAGGTTGGACTTGGTAGATTTAAACGGCGAATGATCTTGTGTTGGTAATCCAAGCAGCTTAAAGCACTACTAGGACATAATCACATTTTCCTCCAGGCACAGATAATGCTAATTTATTTTTGGATATGAATGTACTTATTAGCATAAGCCTTCTCAACAAGTTATCATTGAATGCCTGCAGCATGTATGGCTGTTGTTTGGAGGGATGGAGGACATGAAAACACGGTTAATCATTATCAAATGATTAAAAAGCCTGTAGCTTAAAAAAATTTTTTTTTTTAATGTGTGTGAGTGTATTACCTGCATGTGTATAAGTGCACCTGTGTTCTACAATGCCCGCAGAGGTCAGAAGAGCATCGTATTCTCTGGAACTTGAGTTACAGATTATTGTTAGCCTCCATATGGGTGCTGGGAATCAAACGCGGACTCTCTACAAGACCAGTCAGTGCTTTTAACCGCTGATCCATCTCTCCACACCCAAAAGCCTGTAGCCTTAAGTGTGTTTTCTTAGGTGCCATGCAAGTGGAGTGGCTCCTGCTATTCTCCTTTTATAAATGAAGTAACTGAAGTTTGTGCCCATGATGACACAGTTGCTAAGTCGGAGCTCTTAACCGTGAGGACATACTGTCGCTTTTAGAGATTGACTAAAATGATCTTTGCCTTCAAACACTGAAAAATCAGACATATGAGATAAGACAAGGTCTGATAAGCAGCATGAGAGGCTGTAAGTGCCAGATGAGTAAGCAGAACAGTAAACTCAAAGGAGAAGCTATTCAGCGGGACTCTTGTTTGGCAGATAAAGCTTTAAGGACAGATAACAGATTAACAGTAATAGAGGTGGACAACTCATGCAGGCAGAAAAGAACAAATATGCAAAACCAGAGAAGTGATCTTACTGGACCTTAAGGGGAGGGAGTGTCTTGCCCTGCATCTGAGCAGACACCCATTCTGTATCAGCAATTTGAACTTCAAAAGTTTGGCAGCAGAACCAAATCAGTCTTATTTACTGATAGGCATAATTTTGTGATTACTTTACTATATGGTTCTATATAAAAATTAAGTCCCTGAAAGTAGATAATATTTTTATGTAGCCTAATCACTAAAAAATTTCTTCCTTTCTAGAAAGAGTACATGAAGTTATCAGAAAAAAGTGATGGGGAAATATGGGAGGAGTTTGAGGGGAGGGAGTGGGCATGGATTTGATCAAAATACCTTGTATGCATGTATGAAATTCTCAATAAATTATTTTTTAAAAAGCAACAAAAATGAATTTCTGTTTGCTACTAAGAGAAAATTTTTTAAAAAATTTTTTCTTCCTTTGTTGATTTACCAGTGTAAACTGGTGAATTTATAAATAATAATCATCTCTATCCATAGAATCCTGTGGACTAGGTTTTTTGGGGGGAGGTTTTTTGAGACAGGGTCTCCCTATAGCCCCAGCTGGCTGAGAACTGACATGTAGAGCACGCTGGCCTCAAATTCACAGAGATCCATGAGTGCTGGGATTAAATATGTGTGCCATCATGCCCAGCAGAATGAGTTCTTTAATCTTCCCTCATTCCTTATTTGGCTGAGGTCCCTGTTGGTGGAGAGTAGATTTTTGAAGCACCATTTCTTTTTGCTGTCAAATCTTAGCAATTTGAATCCTCCCTAGTACTACTTAAGGTTCAAGATTTATTTTTCCAACACTATTTCCAGCAGAGGGAGACATGCTCCCTTAAATGCTGGAAAAGGGATTTGAGACCAAATCTCCTTTTCCTTTTGTCAAGGAGAGCTAGGTTGAAACAGCAACTTCACCCAGTCCACCTCAATACATTGTTATCTCCATCCATATGAGGATTGGACTTTTTAGTCCCATGTGAGGTAGCATGAAGAGTTAGCCTATATTCTACATACATAAACTTTTAGTTCTTTTTTCTTTGTATTTATTTAGAGATAGGGTCTCACTATGTAGCTCTAGCTGGCAGTGTAGACCAGGCTGACCTTAAACTTGCAATGATTCTCCCTTGTTTACTCTCAAGTGCTAGAATTACAGGCATATGCCACCACACCTGATATACTTTCAAATACTTATAAATAATAATCATTTTGACCAGGCTTGGTCATGCACACCTGTAATCCCAGCTACTTGAACAGCTGAGGCAGGAGGATGACATGAGCCCAAGAGTTTAAAGCTACCCTAGGGTTGGGGCCTAGTGACAGCATTCAGTGGTAGAGGACTTGCCTAGTATGTACTAAAGCCCTGGTTAGATCCTCAGCTCACTGTAAGAAAATAAATTATACACTTTTTAAAAACTATTTTATTATTTTTATGTGAATGAGTATTGCCTGCCTCTAGTGCTGAAGGTCTGATGAATTCCAAAAGATTGGCTAGTCTTCAGCCTACAGCAGCAAGATGAACTTAACCAGCGAGAGAGAAGGCAAGCAGCAAAAAGCAAGCAGTCTCCTCTGCTATGGCCCTAAATGTGGGCGGCCATCACCTACATTTAGGGTGTGTCTTCCAGCTTCAGATGATCCAATCAAGAACAGTTCTCTCATTTCAGTTAATCCCAGATCCAGTCAAATTGACACCCAGGATTAGCCATCACAACAACTATCTGTAACTCCATTTCCAGGGGATCTGATACCCTCTTCTGACCTCCACTGGCATTGCACAACATGGGTGCACTTACATACATTCAGGCAATACACATACACATAAATAATTTTTAAAAAGGATTTGAAGGTATGCTCTGTGCCTGTTATACAAGAGGTCTGAGTCCTGCTGAGAGAGGAAGTCCTCCAGTCTGGACAGACAGAAATCCACAGTCCCACAAAGACAAAGGTAGAGGTCAGAAACAGACTTCTTTTCCCTTAGGTGACAGGGCACCACCAGCCACAGTGCTTCTAGTGTGCGTGTGTCTGTATGTGTGTGTGTGTGTGTGTGTGTATGTGTGTGTGTGTGTGTGTAGCCCTGCTGGACTGGAACTCACTAGGTAAACCAGGCTGGCCTCAAACAAAGACGCTCCTGCCTCTGCCTCCCAAATCTGGGATTACAATTTGTGCCACCACATCCAGCTCCAGGCTCTTTTTGGTCTGTTGTTCATAGGTATTCTGGAAGAGTAAGAACATGAAAAAGAGTTTTTAGATTACAGTCAGGATGTTAACATGTAGGCACAGCTTTGATTCTAGGGACATTGGCAACTCCTCCCAAATAGCTCAACTTGTTCTCTTCTTGCCAGTACCTGAAATTCCTTTTTCTTTAGATACTCTGGAACCCAAGACAAAAGTCGTAACAACTAATACCACATTTCCCATTTGCCAGCCTCTGTCCTGAGTGCTCTACCCAGATTTTCTCTTCTCCTTCCACAGTCCTCTGAGATGGGTTATATACTATTGTGTTTGGCTGAGGAGGAAACTAAGGTACAGAGGCCCCGTGTCACTTGCCCAGGTCACCAGTGGTAAGTAGCAGAGCTAGGATTTGACTTTCAGACAAAATGTGTCAGAGTGGGAATGGCTAACAAACACCACTGTGCTGTGCTAAGGAGTCCAGCGAGAAGCCAGATGCACTAGGGCCTGGCTCTTGTGTGTTCCAGAAAGGTCCCAGAGATGGGGGCTGGGCACTATAAAGGCATACTTCACACACACAAAATGCCTCCAGCTGGTCTTTCCCTCCCACTCTGCACATGGTAGAGATGTGTGTTGTGCATGGGAGGTATTTTGGCCCATATAGCTTCCCAAATACTCAGAAGCTGCCTTGTACCTCTTACACCTTCTACCTAGAACTTTTTTAGTGAAAAGAGGTTTTTTTGAAGTATCATCTGTCCAACTGAACATGAAGTCTTTGATTTAAACTCACCATGTGTCTTTCTCTAGGTGATCCAGAAAGCTGTTCAATTGCTCCTTTGTGTGGAATCATTGGACTTCTGACTTGTAGTTTCCTCCACTTAATGTCTGGCCTCCTGGGTTTCCCATCCTTCTGTAAACAACCTTTACATCCCAGTTGAATTCGCCAGCAGGAGAGGATTGATGAAAGGCAGGGAAAGCAGGCCACCTTGACAGAAAGCAGGCAGAATTGGAGCTCCTTAGTGGAAATTGCTTCCGCAGTAATAGGATACTGGCTACAAAGCCCAATATGAGTAGTAGCCTCTGCACAGAAATGAGTTATCATGATATCAAGCACTTTGGGTCTCATAGCTTGATCTAGACTGGCTTATACTATGATTCTTTGAATGCAGCACCCACTACTGTGGGAGCTTCTTAAGGGCCAACTTTATTTTCATAGTGTCTCTCGAAAGGAAAATCCCACAAGGTAGGTATCCACTCAACTGGATAACAATGGGACCCAAACTTTCAGCAGGTGAACAGCTTCTGCAGCCCCTGGGACAAGAGCAGACTGAAGCTCTTCTGATCTTTGATCAGTTGCTGACATATTCTGCTCTTTCCCAGCTTCAGACATTTTGTGCACAGCTATATATGGCCACAGAGTGTTGAAAAAGGAAGCTAATATCTGTCTGGTGGAAGTAGTGCATGCCTGTAATTCCAGCACTGGGGAGGTAAAGAGAAAAAAATTAGCAGTTCAAGGCCAGTCTCTGACATAAAGAGAGTTCAAGGCCAACCTGAGCTACATTGAGACCCTGGTGGGGGGGTAGCAATAGGTAGCTGCTGGCTCCCCAGATCATTTCCCGTACTTCTAATTCTGGCAAGTAAATGCCATAGCCCCCCTATTTTGGTCTCTCTGAATCATCTGTGGGTCTTTTCCATGCTGATTATTGGCTCAAGAATGCCCCTGAATCTGCTTCCTTAACATTGAGCTCATGATGATGGTAACTGGAGTCCATGAAGAATAGTATAAAGCTGAGTAGTTGGTAGAAAGGCTGTGTGAGAGATGAAGACATTCCTAAGAACTCTGATCTGCACACTCCTCTTTCCAGTCCTGAGGAAGTCAGCTGGGTCTGTGAAAACTTAACTCCAAAGGTTGGCCAATGGCTGTGTTTAAGACAGTATCATTATTGGGACACTTGGATTCATCAAACTTGCCCCATAGTTCCCCTGTATTTTAGAAGATGGGAGAATGTGGGGCTGGGGAGATAACTCAGTCTGTAAAGTGCTTGCCATGAAAGCATGATGACCTGAGTTAGATCTCCAGCACCCAAGTTAAAAGCTAGGTGTGATGGCATCTGACCTGTAATCCCAATGTTGGGGAGGTGGAGACAAGTGGATCCCTGGGGTTCACTGGCCAGCTAACCTAGCATAGTCGGCAAGCCCCAGGTCCCAGTGAGAGAGCGACCTTGTCTCAAAAAGCACTTCTGAGAAATGACACCCAAGTTGTCCTCTGTTCCATATGTATGCA